TTCTATTCTATTCTATTATTTCATATTCTATTCTATTCTATTTCATATTCTATTCTATTCTATTCCATTCCATATTCCATATCTATTATTCTATTTTATTCTATTCCATTCCATATTCCATATCTATTATTCTATTTTATTCTATTCCATTCCATATTCCATATCTATTCCAATTCTATTCCATTCCATTCCATATTCCATATTTATTCCATTCTATTCTATTCTATTCCATATTCCATATCTATTATTCTATTCTATTTTATTTTATTCCATTCCATTCCATATTCCATATCTATTCCAATTTATTCCATTCTATTCCATATTCCATATTTATTCTATTCTATTCTATTCTATTCTCTCCCATTCCATATTCTATTCCATATTCCATATCTACTCCATGTCTATTCCATTCTGTTCCTATTCCTATTCTATATCCTATTCTATATCTTATCCGCTATCCCTGTGATGGGGAACCTATGGCGGAAGTGGCACGCAGAGCTGTCGCCCGTTGCTCTTCTGGGTTCTGGGGCGCCCGCCAGCTGCTCTTCACATGCGCAGGAGTGCCAGAAACTGGAAGCGCAACCGCCCGGTTTCCAGCGTGTGCATGCGCACTGGCCAGATGGCTTTTCGCATAGGCGAAACCGGAAACCAGAAGACCAGACGGTGAAAAAGGTTCGCCAACACTGCCCTCTCCCGTTTCCTGGAGGAAAGCCCTTCCACTGAATAACAGAAGCTGGGAGGGGCCTTGGAGGTCATTTAGACCAACCCCCTGCTCAAACAGGAGATCCTATACTATTTCAGACGAGTGGCTGTCCAGTCTCTTATTGAAAGCCTCCAGTGATGGAGCAGCCACAACTTCTGGAGGCAACTTCTCTCCCGCTGATCGTTCACACGCCATGTTTCCCTCCCGCCGTTCCATCCCCTGAGAAGGAAGCCGCTACCCGCATAAACCCCTCCTGCGCAGCCGCGCTTCTTCGCATTTTCCCAACCCCGATTCTGCTTCTCTCTCGCAGGAAGGCTTCGTGATACCCGACGAAGGAGCCCCCCCGGAGGACCAGGAGGAGTATTAAGGGCCCCACCGACGTCGACCAGCCGAGCAGCAGAGTCAGAAGTCCGAAAAATCTTTGCCCCGATCATGTGCTTATCTGTAAAATACTCTCGTTTTATTCTTAGAGGACTTTAACTGGTTTCTTTTCGAAAAGTAAAAACAAAACAAAACGAAACAAACAAACAAAAAAAGAGTACCTCTTCAAGTGCACTTTGCGTAAGTTTTACTACTACTTTCCCCCCTCCCCTCCCCCCCACCCTTCCGCTTCCGATGGGTGCGTGTGTGTTTTATTTTATATTATTTCTTCGGTTCCTTTTTTCTTTTTGGAGAGCTCTTTTGCCACTTTTCATAGCGGGACGATATTATCAACATCCTTCTGGTGTTGTTTGGAAGCAAGAGGCCGCAGACTCGGGGCTACGCGGGGGTCGCTCGGCCGGGCCCTTCCACGACGGAGGATTGGCAGTGCGTCGTGTTTGGGGAGGGGTGGGTGGGGAAGCAGGAGAGGCTGCCTAGGGAGTGCAAAGGTGGCCTTTCCACCAGGTGCCCTGTGGGGAGAGGAAGGGGGCGTCGAGAGAACTGGAAAGCGACGGAGGATTTGAGATGCTCGGGTAGGGGAGATTATAGCGTTCCTGGCTTAGATTGATCGGGGCTGCGAGTTCGGGAGGTCAGAGGCCATGTGGAAGTGGGCCCAGCGTGGCTGAGGATGTGGCAGGAGAATGGACTTTGTAGTCGGCTCGGTGGCAAGGAAGGTGTGAAGCAGGCGTGCCCGAAATCGGCTTCTATGGTTGGTGTAACCTCCAATAAGACCAGGTTTGTCCAACGTTTGCAACTTTTCAACAAGGGTTGAAAAGTTGCAAAAGCTGGACACGCCCGATTAAGTTCCTCACTTGAATCTCCTCCTCCACCTCTTAGCTCCATCTCTGCCCCTCCCCCCCAAAAATACGGGGCCAGTCTCTTCCTCGTTGCCCCCCTCTCTCTGCTTCCAAACCAACCCTGTTATCCTCAACAAACAAACTCCGTTTTGGGATTCCCTTCTCACCAAACTAAGATAATTTCAACAGGGATGCTGGATCCAAAAGCATCGGAGAAGGTTGTAACACTCCACTCTTACTCGACTGGATTCGCTAGTCGGTTTTTGCCACCTGCGTCAAGAGATGCCTGGGTGGGGGGCCACACCTCCTTTGCCAGGGCCTCCCCTCAAGTTACCTGCGCAGGTGCGTGCAGAGGACCGGTGGGGGAGAAAAAAAGAGAAATCGCGTATTAAATAGGCGAGCCGAAGTTGCCGGAGATAATCAGAGCGTTCCGGTGAATTTTTGATTATTGCAGTATTCTGTGTTTGACCCTCTCCCCCTCCCTCCCCTCCCCAATGGCTGCTCCTTGGGGGGGGGGCTTTCGGAGGTTTGGGAACACCCCCCCCCTCAATCCCACCCCTCATTCCCTCCCCTCGCCCACAGCAAAGACTAAGCTTCCGGCTTGGTGCGTTCCTTTTGTCCGTTTGCTTCTGGTGGTTGTGTGTGTGTGTCTCGATGTGTGTAGAAAAGCAGAGTTAACGGTAACTTGTTGTGTAGTGCATGATTTCCTTATGACAATTCGGCGGGAGACCCACGTTTTGGACGAATGCCAAAAAAAGAAAAGAAAAAAAGGAAAGAAGGGAAAGAAAGAAAGAAAAGAAAAAAGAAAGCCATTATTTAAAACATCAGAGGTGCTGTTTCTCTTGTGTGGCCTTCTAAAATACCTGTTTTTTGCCCTACAACGATAATTCAAAACCAGACTCCTTTTGACAGGGTTTTTTTCTACTTTTAAAACGGTTTCTAAATAAAGTTCTGTTATTTCAAGAAGGTGGCGTCTCCTGGAGTGTCGTGTTCCTTGCCGGGGGTGTTTATTTTATTCCTCCTCCAGGCCCCCTTTTCCTTGCAACGTCCAAGTTCTCCGTCCGTTTTTTTGGCCTGCTGTGTTTTTTCGCACCGCCTGGGGTTCTAGTTCGCACCGGGATGTGTGGTCCTCCGGCAGCTTTGGGGTGGATTCGAAGCCACTTTGCTCCACCTCTCAAAGGCACCCGATTAGAAAGTGGGAGACGGTGAGCTCTAGTCCTTCTGCCTCAGCCCTGAAAGCCAGTTGGGTGATTGGGCCAATCCACAGGAGACTGGGAGTTCTAGTGCCACCTTAGGCATGAAAGCTAGTTGGGTGACTGTGGGCCAATCACCAGGAGGTTGTGAGTTCTAGTCCCATCTTAGGCATGAAAGCTAGTTGGGTGACTGTGGGCCAATCCACAGGAGACTGGGAGTTCTAGTGCCACCTTAGGCATGAAAGCTAGTTGGGTGACTGTGGGCCAATCAACAGGAGACTGGGAGTTCTAGTCCCATCTTAGGCATGAAAGCTAGTTGGGTGACTGTGGGCCAATCCACAGGAGACTGGGAGTTCTAGTCCCATCTTAGCATGGCTGGGTCGCTTT